CGAAACCTAACCCCGTTTGGGCTAGCACGTGACTGCCTCACCTGGATCTTGAGGGTGGCGTCCTTCAAGCGGTCCATTTCCTCCTGATCTTTCCGTAGCAACACCACTAGCTTGTCCAAGTAGAACTGCAGGGGGGAAAACGATTATGGTGTCAAGCTCTTCTCCCCGGGTAACTCTAGGTGCGTTTGTAGTGCCGCTGATCCTCTGACTCAGGATTTTCTTCGTGACTTTACCGAGCAGTAAACAAGCTCAAACAGCATTGAAATAAGAACACCGAGCACACAGGAAGCGCGCATTGACGAAAGGTACCCTCTAGAACCGAAGTAATGCAGCGGCTTGTGAGAAAAGCCCTAAGGATTGTGGTGGTTGGTTGAGCGTCAAGTTTAGTTAGTGCACGGCTTCGTATGTTTCTTCTTCTCCTCATGATGGGCGATGATACGCACAAAAACGCCGAAAAGCGTCTCAAACCAGATACTGGATCCTAACCCGCATTTCCTTTCACACAATCCTATCGTGAAAGAAGAAGCGCAAAAGGAAGTTCCTCGCACACGTAAATAAGAACGGCAGAACGACGACAATCAAGCTCACGCCACAGCAAAGTGGTTTTTAAATCGTTCCAAGCAGTGAACCTGTGCGAGGAAGGTATACGCGGCCGACCTTTATTCTCTCCCCGTTGGGCTGCCCATCGAAAGTCTCCTTGCTTATGACGACCTCCTGGTTGCGCGAGGCGACCGCGAGCTTGACCGCCCGCATATACGCGAGCGCCTGAGAATGAGAAGCAGCAAAGCTTTCAGTTGCAAGATTGCGATGCTGTAAGAGAGAATCAGAGCGAGAGAATTGAGCCGTGAACGGCAGTGCTTTTTGGTCTTTGTCTAAGGCCACCGCGAGCTTGACCCGCGCATATGCGCAAGTGCCTGAAAGAGAAGCAGCAAAGCTTTTAAGTGCATCATTTGCGCGACCCTGAAAGGAAATGGATTGCGCGCGTAATGCGAACAGTTGAGTCATGAATGTCAGTGCTTTTGATCTCCGCGCGAGGCCGCTGCAAACTTGACCGCGCTGATATATGCAAGCTCCTGCAATCAGCAAAGCTTTCAGTTGCGCAACTGCGCGACGCTAAGGAGAACTCGATAGCGCGCGTAGAGCGAAAAGTCGTGTCATGAACGTCAGTGCATCTGGTCTTTGCGCGAGGCCGCTGCGACGTTGACCGCGCGCTTATACGCAAGCGCCTGAAAACGAGAAGCAGCAAAGCTTTCAGTGGCACCATTGCGCGACGCTGAAGAGAAGCTAAATGTGCGCGTAAGAGTGAAAAAGTGAGGCATAGAATGTCAGCGTTTCTGGTCTTTGCGCGAGGCCGCTGCGAGCTTGACCGCGCACGCATATCGCAAGCGCCTTAGCGAGAAGCAGCAGAGCTTTTGATTTATTGCGCAGGGCTACAGAAGGCTCGAGTGCGCGCGTAGATGAATATGTGAGAGACACAAAAGGTCACAGCCGTTTTGCGCGAGGCCAGCGTGAGCTTGAACGCGCGCATCTGCGCGCGTGCCTGCACGGAAACTGCTTAAGATTTCAGTGGATTGTGCGGGGCCTTGGCAACTGTGACTGCACGCAGAGTACGCGGGAATCCAAACAAGAGTGAAAGTGTGACTATGCACAATCGCGAGCGCCTGCAGAGAAAGAGGGGACCGAAAAGCCCTGTGTAGGTTCCGCAAAAGCCCAAACGGATCGGCTGCACGCAAATACGCGGAATTTTCACAGGCATGGTTTTACACGGAAGATGTCGATTGCGCGTTGCAATCGCGAGCTTGACCCGCATAACGTTGCGGAATGATATTCAGAATTCGTCGGTATTGAGGACGTGTAGCGGGGGCGTGTCCATTCGGCCATTCACTTGAGCTGAGTGCTCAAGCGAGCTGGAGAGTTCCACGGAACAGACCGAAACACGGACTACCCTTCTCTCGAATCCCTGGGACACTCGCGGGGAGACTCTATATTCTTATCTAGATGAAATTCATCACGCACTCATCAAAGCACTGTCGGAATGAAGGACCGGAAAAATGTTGAAGGACAACCATAGGAGTCAAATTGGGGCAGTGTTTCTTACCTCTGTTCGAAAGAGCGTCCGTATGGATGCTTTCCGCAGATTTTCCGCCACGTCCGGGTGATGCTCCAAGATTTGAAACAGGACCTGCGGAATCAATTTCACATTGTAGATTAGATAGCCAACACTTTTGAAGAGTGCCGTCACGTAGCAGAGCCCTCCATCTCTCTCTTGAAAGAGTATTGAGCAACCAGCCGTTTGCGAGTGGGCTGAAAATCGCTCTTTGATCAGGAACAGAGTATCTTGGTCTGGAACCGTGCTCTTAACCAGGATTAGGATTGCGAGTGGGTTGGAATCGCGCTCGTTAATCAGGAACAAATTTTTTGCCCACGACTAGAGGGACGCGAAACGTGGGCTAAAGTTTCCAACGTACTATGCCAGCATCCAAACGTCAAAGACAGTATGCCATCAAACAAGGTGGACCGGTGCACCCACAATATGTAACATGACGCGGACGCAGAAGAGAAGCATTTCGCTTCATTCGAGCGGCTCGAGTCGCGCCCATGGCGACCTAAGGACTTTTAAAGCATAGCGCTGGTCGCCTTTCTGCGGCTTTTGCCACCATCCATCCACTGCAGATTCCTGTTAGTGTGAATACCCCTGAACGCGGCTGTTCTCACCTTTCGATCCAATGACATCAGGTCGCAGTACGTCAAGGCCATAGCGCTGCACAAAACGGAATCGATGTGAATGGCCGGGGCTCTAAGGAGAAGTTCACCGCACTTTCGCTCAGCTTCTTTACCTCTCGCAAATATAGGGCCCGAATTAGAATAGCCCGGACTATGCATGACAGACAGCACCTTTTTCTGCTTGTAATTTCAAAGGCTGCATACCGGCTTTGTTTGAGAGAGAACACACGCATTTCAACACTTGCAAGCATCGAGGGGCTTATTCCCACCTGTGGGCTCGCCGGGTGCTCCGGGCCTCGAACAGCATGTCCGTCCCAATGACGCTGCCAGAAGTGTGAATGCGCCCGTTTCCGGCAACCACCCCTTTCCGCACGACGAACATCTTTTCGGGGGGCTCGTTCAGTCGGATGATTGCTTCCTGGGGGGCGAACGTCTCGCTTTCCATGTTCAGGGACACCTGCAAGGATTGCGGAGGAGTTGGGATTCCTGTCCATTAATTTGGGAGGAGGTACGTGGTTCGTTTGGTCTGAATTACTGTGGGAAGAAAGAAACAAACTTGCTTTTCAAGTCGAAGGTGGTGGCTCTTTGATTGTTGATTTGAGGGGTCGGGTCTTTGACTAGTCAAATCTATAAGGTATCCCCAACTTGTAAGGAGAAAATTCTGCTGGTTTCCCACCCCTTTGAAATTGAGTCTCTGAAAGAGAACGTAGTCATAACTCCAGGCTGAGGAGCTCGCTGATGAGGCTGGCTGCGATGTGAAGTGGGGCCAAATCCTTCCGTTATCTTTCGGAATTTGAACGAGAGGGCTCAATCCAGACGCCGTTGATGCCTCGAAGTTTTTTCGTCACATCGATCAGAGATTGCTTCATTCGCGTAGAAGGAAAGAGCAAGTTCTGGGTCATTCGCTAACCTCGATGACGAACGGGGTAGCTCCGGAAGAAGGGCAGCTTGGGGCCCCAACGTCGTTGGTGTGTCCGGCCACTAAAGTACAATTCCACATTTCGAGCAGCCCTAATCAACTACTTAACCACGGAAACTAAAGTGAGGCTTCGAGATTTAGGCGCCGATTTCGATGGATGTACTCGGTGGGTTGGTGTGTCCTGCCACTCGAGATGTTTGACAGCTGACCGGCCCTGACCTTCTATCTAACCACGCAAATCAAAATGCAAGATTCGAGGGTTACGCGCTGACCTCAATGACGAACTCGGTGGGGCAGCTACGGAAGAAGGGCAGCTTGTTGATTCAGACGCCGTTGGTGTGTTTGGCCACTCAAAAAAGCTCCGAAATTCCGACGTAACTGGACACTTAGCACGTGCACAAAAGGATAAGTTCCTGGGTTACGCGCTAACCTCGATGACGAACTCGGTGGGGCAGCTCCGGAAGAGGTCAGTTTGTTAACCCCGACGCATCTGATTTGTCCGGCCACTCACGATACTGCTTCGTCCAGCCTTAAGCGTCTACTTGACCACGCAATTGAGGTTAAAAGAGTCAAGGTTACGCGCTAACCTCGATGACGAACTCGGTGGGGCAGCTCCGGAAGAAGGGCAGCTTGTTGATCCAGACGCCGTTGGTGTGTCCAGCCACCTCGGCGCGCAGGTTCTTGCTCATCATGCTCAGCAGCGAGTGGAAGTTTCCCACGCCCTTGTTGTTGTGTCGGTACCGGAAGTAGTCCTGGGGGGGAGGGTTAAGATTGGGGTTCAGCCTTAACCTAGTTTCAAGGGTCTTTGGCTAACGCGTTCTTCGCTTTTCAATAAAGAACGGCAATAACCCGGGGCTCGGCGCTTGCTGTTGTTGTGCCGGTATCGGAGGTAGTCCTGGGACAGTGATTAAACTTGGGTCAAGGACGCTCAACCCTCAGGGGTTTGGCCTCTCATTGAAGCTAATTCAAGGGCGAGGATTACGCATTCAGCACTTAGTTTTGTGCCGATACCGGAATTAGTTTCTGCGGGGGTAATCAGGTTTTCGGTTTGAGGCTCTTTTTTACCGTTTAAGTTTCGGTGATTCAGAGATTCAGGTTCAAATCTACTGCCCAGCGCCGCAGGCACCGTTGAATACACGTCCGCCCACTTTGAAATCCTTCGCCGTTCTGTCCCGATACGATTCCCGCAGGGGACCTTTTTCAAAAGTATGTTGAGCTCAACTCAAGCCGAGTTGTTTGCACCTTGCAACCGGTGGTGCACTGAATGTTAACGACTGGTTACCAGGCCGGAAACTTCGAAGCCCAAGGTTATGGCACTCCAGAGCATAGAACCCTGCGCAGCTTCCTACGCAGGTCGGCCCGAAGACGGTGGTCCTCTGTAGAAGGCGGGGGCTAATCTAGTACGTGAGGCTCCATCCTGAAAATCTGCGCTCACAAAACCCAAATACCTCAAAGTACACAAGAAAATGTAGTTCTCACAAGCGTTCTCCCGTAGCTTTCTGTGTAGGTGCTTGTCAATTGGCAGTCCTTCATGGGTGGGTTGAGCTCAAGTACCCTGCTTGTCTTGAAAGGGCCAGAATGAGAAACCGTAGCGTCCTAGTGTGACTATCCTAGGACCCCTCACCCGCAGGACGGGGAGTTGGCGATTGTGAATCTGATTCATCACGCAACTTATTTACGGTCTATAAGGGGTCTGTCCCATACCTAAATCGTAGAAAACCCTAAAGCAATCAAATTCCTCACCCGTAGCTTGGTGCGCAGGTCGGGCGGGAGGTGGGGATTTCGTTAGGACTGTTGAGCTAGGCGACGATGCGTTTCGTAGATCCGCAAATTTACAGCATCATACACTCATACGATCAGCAGAACATTAAAACCTAAAAGCCCTAAAGCTTTAGTCTAAAAACCTCGCCCGCAGCTTGCTGCGTAAGTCGGTCGCGAGGTGGTGGTCCTCCATGAAAGTGTTGAGCAGCAGTTTCAAACCAACAACTCTTTAAAACCCTAGCATGTTCAAGAGCCAGGAAAAGAGACAGAAAAGAAACACAAATTCACCCGGAGTTTGGTGCGCAGGTCGGGCGGGAGGTGGTGATCCTCCATGAAGTTGTTGAGCAGCAGTTTCAAACCAACTACTCTTTAAAATCCTAACATATTCAAAATCCAGGAGGGGAAAAGAGACAGAAACAAGCAAGCAACTCACCCGCAGCTTGGTGCGCAGGTCGGGCGGCAGGTGGTGGTCCTCCATGGAGTTGTTGAGCAGCAGTTTCGATTAAGCAAGCTTTGAAAACTCAAAGATGTCCAAAATCCAGAAGGGGAAAACTCAAATATGTTCAAAATCCAGAAGGGTAACAGGGGGAAAAACAAACAAACAATCGACTCACCCGGAGTTTGGTGCGCAGGTCGGGCGGGAGGTGGTGGTCCTCCATGAAATTGTTGAGCTGGTCCATGCGCATGTGGAACTCGTTCTCGTCCGCGCTGCGGCTCGACACGAGCGCCGTAATCTCTCCCACGATGTACCCGAAGTAGTAGCTCCCCAGCAGCAGCACGAAGATGACGTAGTACTGCTCCCACACCGTCACCGCTGTGACGTCCTGGTGACGACAGCAGAGGTTTATTAGGACTTATGGTTCCGAAACACTTGTGGGTTTGAAATCTGAGTTCGTATATCTTAAGAAGCAACCGAAGTAGCTCCCCAGCAGCAGCACGAAGATGACGTAGTACTGCTCCCACACCGTCACCGCTGTGACGTTCTGGTGACGTCAGGCGAAGGGTTTCAGGAGTTTTGAATTCCAAAGATTTTGAGGGTTTTAAATCTAGGTTCGTATTTCCCACGATGTACCCCCGAAGTAGTTCGATCCGCCCCACGATCTTCACCAGAAGAGTAGCTTCAGAGCAAAAGGACGAAGATGACGTAGCACTGCTCCCAAGCCGTCACCGCTGACGTCCTGGGGCGTCAGTAGTGGTTTTTTAGAAGTTTTGCGGTTGGCAGGGGTCGAACGAGTTTGCGGGAGAGAAAGAGAACCATGAAGAGAAAGAGACGTCAGAATTCCAGATCAACGATCGTAGATGAACGATGCAAGATGAGATGAAAGATGAAAGATGGAAACTATCTTACCCGTAGCCGGTCGAGGTGAGCGTTACGACCGCGAAGTAGACCGATTTGTGGAGTGATTGTGAGGGTGCTCGAATCTCTTTTTTGTTGTTTTGTTTTTTAACTTTCCAATCCTATCCAATTCTTCGGCTCCTTCCTTATATTTTTTCAACACGGAAGTCAAGATCCAGGCTCACCCCGTAGCCCGTCGAGGTGAGCGAAACGTCCGCGAACTAGAGCGAGGTGGAGTAGATTGAGAGGGTGCTCGAAAGTTTTTCTTTCTCTTTCCTCGCAACTCTCCAATCTCATTCTATTCATCTTCTTTCCGGTCTCTTTCTTGACATGGAAGTTGAAAACAGCTTACCCCGTACCCGGTCGAGGTAAGCAAAACGACCGCGAAGTAAAGTGACTTAGAGTAGATCGAGACGGTACTAAAAGTTCCCTCTTTTTGTGACCCTCCAAATCCGTTCGATTCTTTCCGACCTCTATTCTGAGTTACAACCGGAGGTTAAGAATCAGGCTTACCCCGTAGCCGGTCGAGGTGAGCGACACAACCGCGAAGTAGAGTGAGGTGGAATAGATTGAGATGGTGCTCTGATTCTCCATGCCCAACCGCGCCAGCCAGTTGGCGCCGTCCGACTCCAGGTCCGCGATCAGCCGCCACACGCACGCCAACTAGAGGAGGGGAAAAGAAGGATGACGTCAGCATAGATTCCTGGTGAATAGAGGAAGTTTTGGGTTCGACTCCAGGTCCGCGGTCAGCCGCCACACGCACGCCAACCAGGAGAGGCGAGGAAAGGATGACGTGAGCAATGGGATGAGATAGATGCCAGCACGTAAAAATGCTGATATTACCGAGGGAGAATCAGCCGCCAGACGCACACAAACTGGAAAAGGGCAGGAAAGGACGACGACAGCACGCAACAAGGATGATATGAGCACAGAATTTGTGCACGAAAATCAGTGGGTCCCTAGTGCCTCTGCCTCCGCCATCAAAATCCTTGCAATATCAGAAGACGAACGTACAACCGATTCCATGTCAGATCCTGCTTGAAGGCTTGCTTGAACGGAAGAAATTTGTTATGGAGTTCAACTTATAGTGGAAGCGAGAAAAAAAATCACAGTCCGATCATGAAACGTAGATGTGTCCTACTCCAGGATCAGCCGACAGACGCACACCAACCGGAGGAGGGGAGGAAAGGACGACGACAGCACGCAATAAGGAGGACATGAGCAAAAGAATGTGCATGGAAAAACAGTGGGTTCCGACTGCCTCTGCGTTCGCCGTCAGGCGCCTCGCAGTCAGGAGACGAACGTACGACCGATGCCATGTCATATCAACCTAGAACGGCTTACTTGAACGGGGGAAGGTTGTAGAAAAGTTCGTCTTAGACTCAACGCAAGGAAACGCTCAGTCCTTACCCAGTGCGAGATGAAGACGCTGGACGCCATAAACTTGAACATCTTCATCACGCCGAAGTCGACGTTCAGGTTCGTTTGTAGCCGTTGGATGATGCGGCCCGTGCGAGCCAGCCTTAGGAGCTGCGCCACGTCAGCAAAGAAGGGCGTCAGATCGTGAGGTGGAAGGGCGGCTTATTAAGCTCATCAATGCTCGCCTCAATACGAAGGGAACTAGAACGGTGTGGCATCGCCCTTGTCTCCTAACGGGCTTGTCTCACAAGGTTCACAACCGGGGGACGGGTAGGGTTGGTTTGGTGGTTAGGGTGGGTAGGGGTGCGGAGCGCGTAAGATTTTGGGTTAGGGGTTTTAGTTGAGGTGCCGGGGGCTGTGAATCTTAAGAGACAAGCCCCTTCGGAGACAAGGGAGTTGCCAGTACAACTAGAACAGGGACAGCGCTCCGGTTTAAGAAGGTGAGAAGCCGTAGGTGCGGTTAGCACGAGTTGGTCTGTGTGCTACGTATCATGCACCTTGTTCGAGCAGCTATCTCCCGTCAGCGGCCGTTCTCAATCTTTCGCAGCTTGCACTAGTCGAGGTTCATTCCTTTGCTCTTATCAAAGCATTCAGCTTTGGGGCCTCGGATCAGTCCTAAGCATTAATCCTCGAGATATCTTCGAAGCACCACCCATTACAGGAGCTCCGATGCTGATTCCAAATGTACTCCAGTGAAATACCAGCTTAATGCAGAGCTGACGTCATTCTCTGACGTCACGCGCACCTTGCGCAGCGCCGTCAGCCACAGGGCAATTCCGGACGCGTTCATTGCCACGCTATCCCTAAAGTGAAGTACCCCGGTCATCAGTGACGTCACTCTCTGCGTTAGACGTCACCATCTGACGTCAGGCCCACCTTGAGCAATCTCCCGAGCCGCAGGATGATCCCGATGACGCTCCGCTTGGAGTGGTGCATCGAGTACTTCTCCCAGCAGTAGTAGATGACGTCAAACGGGAACACCGCCAGGAAGTCCGTCGTGAATGACGTCCGCAAGTACCTGTCGTGGCGTCACATGGCTATCAGTCTTTTAGACCCACTTGCGATATGTCGGGTGTTGCTTAGAAGCTCAAGCAGAAGTTTCAAACCTGAAAAACTCGAAGTTCAAGAATCGCGAACTAGACTCGCACTACAATAATTAAAGCTTGGACTCAAAATGCGATCTGCCCCTAGGCGCTAACCAGGCGTGCCAACAAAGCCAACGCAGCCCAATCTCGGAAGGTTTATGTATCACCAAGACATATAGTAGATTCCATGACTCTTGAATGGGCGAACGAATCGCGTCAGTAGCCACATTAGGGCGAAACATGGCTGAGAGCAGGGGGATTTTGGGCGCCGAAACTAGTGTACTAGACGCAGCCCAAGACTACGTGGCCATATATTGGGGACGGAAAGTGCAAGGACTCGGGCTTCACTGTCGCCCCAATCGCTTCATACCGACAAGCCCCGTCAAGAAACTTTCGAGTTGGCCTCAGTTCCCTGTCATCAAAAACCCATGCGATTTTCCTCAGCTACTCCATTTTTGGATATGCTATCAATCGAACTCCTTAGTCTCAGCTGGAAGCCATAACTTGGCGCGGTATATATGCCCATTCGCAAAACCTTTGGGTTTACTTTTCCGGTACGAACCGGGCTGTAGCTGCTCCAGCTGCAGCGGATGCCATGCCCGGTGGTCTGCCCTGGCCGGACACGTGCACCCAATCCACTCTGGTTTCTGTCCTAGGCCTATCATTCGAAATCTGGTGTTTGAACAGGTTTGACAAAACCCCGTAATGTTCGATCTAGTGAACAGCGAGCCTCTGTGAACGGCATGCTTTTTTGGTTCGATCAAAACCATAACCAAAAATTCACGCGCTCCGCGCCCATACCCATCCTCACCCCCAAACTAACCTCACCCGTCTCCGACACTGTTCACTAACTTACACTTCACTACACCGAATGGGATCAAAAAGCCTGCAAGAATACTGTAGAAAAAAGTCCGAGTCGGCGCGCTCACCGCGCGGCAATTGTCTTGCGCTTGGAGATCCAGACGCTCTTTTCGTTGTCGAAGAACATGAGGTTGAAGTTGATCAGCATGTCCACCAGGAAGATGGCGTCCACCTGACGTCAGCCAACGCGCCGGTTAGCATCCGGTTAGTATGTTATGGGATGCTAACTTTGACCCGATACTTATCGGCAAGTTGACGTATGCATCAAAGTAGGGTCTGGACTGGCACTGAGAATGTAGCGGCATCTGTCTGGTGCAAGGACAGCATCAGTGCGAATGCGCTTTCCAGAGGGAGTAAGTGCTACGATCCTGAATCACAAAATCCGTCCGTATTACAAGGAAATCAAGCGCACAGCAGTTTCTCTCAACGGCCGCTTCTTGTGTCACTAATCAATCCAGGCTTAGGCCAAGTCTTGAGCGCTGAAGGAAGGGTAATCTATGAAATTGCATGAATTGAGGCCGTTCGCTTTCAGATGGACAAACTAGACGCTCCACGTGGCGGGTTACGTAATCTAAGCAGTGTCAAAGCAAACCGGGGGTTTGCTCTAATGTTTCGAGCGAAGAGAGTCCATTGATTGCTCAACAATCACGTTCTGGAACGGTTACTTCTCCAACCTCCGGTCTCGGAAACATAGGCTCCTTTCTGTGGCCGCGGACAAGGGTTCTTCTTGAACCCTGACACCGAGTAAGAGAAGCTTAAAAGGACTCCTGGAATGGAAGCAAGGAAAGCAAACGGACTTGCGACCCTTACCACGCGGTTCGCGAAGAAGATTGAGTTGAGCGATAAGTGCAGAAAAGCGGCCTGCAGCAGAAACGAATAACTTTTACATAGAGCAAGCTTCGCTTCGCGAACGAACCCGAAACGATTGTCGCCAGCTGCGCATTCAATTCAATCTGGAAGCCGCTGCATACGATTTGTTTCGTACTGTTCAAAGACTTAAGACCTGCCATACTCTAAACGATGGCCACATCTAAGGGCTGAGATCAAAAGCTACTTCCTTGATGCTATGAGGCTAGCTTGCCGTGCCCAATTGGAAGACCAAGACCTTTTTATGGATGACTCGGCACTGTCGAAAGCCCATGGAATTAGTGTCCCCAATCATCTAATGCATACACCTTGCTCTAGCAACGACAATTCATGCTGACCCTGTAAAGCACCAGGGACGCTTCGCCTTCTCAGACTGAAGAGGCCGGTCATTGCACGGTTGCTATATTGTTTACAGAAAGCCGTTTCGATGCTGACACGTGGCTTACCTCGAAGGGAATGGTAAATGCGCAGATGATGATGAGAATCGTAAGGAAGATGTCCCATCGAGTTATGAAAGCGGACCTACAAAAAAACAAAGTCAAAGAAATGAGATTAACTTCAAAGTGATGTGTGGTTCTTTTGAGACTTCGTACTAATAACGAAAGCTTAAGTTGGTCACAGCAGAAAGTTGTATCCACCGGAAAAAGGTTCGGATGTTTGCATTATCATCCCGGGACGTCAACCGCTCGGTTGATTAATCGCGTATTGTCCTGTCCCGCTGTCGGCTCCGGATTCGGTCCATATCATCATGTCGAATATCTAGGACCCGGAGAGAATACAAGTACGTTATCGGGGTTCGAATTCCATATTTTTCAGGAGCTCCGCGTTTAGTGGTCCCTCATAGTTGGGCACGAACCTTCACTAGCTCTGAGTAATGTAATTGGTTAAGCTTCAGGGTTACCTTCCTTCGGCCTTGCCAATGCCACCTGACTGAACAAAACCGAAAATGAACAGTTTTGCTTAAGAACGTACGGGTTAACTTACTTTGGGTTAATAACCCTGGTTCTGGAGTAGTGAAACGCGCCCAGCTCCTCGTCCTCGCCCGGTTCCTCTTCGCTGTCCGCCGTGTTCCGCCGCATTCTGCTGGACGGAAGAGTCATTCGCTGCGGCCCCATCGTTAGCGACTTGCGCCGCAGCGCCGCTAACTGAGCTACAGCGCGCAACACCATGCCCTTCTCGAACGGCTCCTGAAAACGGTTACGGAGAAAGTTTAGCAGGGTTTCCTGCGAAGGTGAAGAGTCCTGTCGGGTTAAGGAACGCCTCTGCGCTTAAGAAGCGCTGGAGCAGGGGATTAAAGCGTGGGTCAACAAGCCGCTTACGCTTGACGTGCGCTGCAGCTCCGCCAACTGGGCCACCGCGCGTGTAGCACCATGCGTTTCTCGAACGCCTCAAGAAACGAGTAAAGAAGGGGTCAAGATAGGTTTTTAGTGGGTTATCAAAAGCCTGTAACGCTCGCAAGCGACGTGCGCCGCAGCGCCGTCAGTTGGGTCACTGCGGGGCAACACCGCCACTTCCACGAAGGCCTCCTGAAAAGCGGGTTAAGCAGGGGTTCAGATGAATTTTAACGTGAGGTTTACGACTTCAAACAGATCAGTGACTTGAGCTGCAGCGCCGCTAAGTGGGCCCCCGCGCCCAGCACCATGCCCTTTCAAACGCCTCCTGAAAACGGGTTAAAAAGGGGTTTGGATGAGTTCTGTAAATCTCGAAAGACCTGGGTACGTCTGTTCCGAGAGAACCAGTAGCATCCTACATGTAACGCGCGCGTGCAGACAGGCCCGCTCTAAGCCCTTATCGTCCCGTAAGCTGAGCTCATCGTGTGGTAAAGGAGGGGCCCGTCAGCGTCTGTGCGCATCCAGAACCCGTGTACATACCCGCTTCATCGAGTTCCTACAGGTTTGCGGAGGACCGGCGACTATATCACCGAGGCGATCGTGCGTGCAGCACTCAGACTACGAAAATTGTACGATTACGCCCTAATCGGGCCTCAGCGGGGGAGCCATGGACCTGGAAACGGGTACATATGCTGTTGCGAATCAAATGTTCTGATCCAAGAGCAACTCTGCAGCTGCATTTCCACTTTGAGGGTGCAGTTTGCTCACCGGCCCGGCCATACTGGGCTGCTTTCCGGTTAGGGCCCCCAGCCCGCCAAAAGCCCCCGGTCCAGTCACAGACTTTCCCGACCGAAAATTGGATGATCCCCCGGGGTTTCCCAAAGGGCGGGACTCGGATGAACGGGGTAGAACCATGCTCATGTACCGGCCTGTTGGAGCGAGCGACGGCGGTAGCGTTGGACTCTCTTGCCGGTCGCCCTGGAAAGATTGGGCGGAGGGGGTTAGGTCATCAAATCGAGGAGTAACTTTACCCCCCGTGACGGACGCGACAATACCAAAAAGTCGGGTGCGTGAATGAACTACAGATTGAATCAGTCAGTTGAGTTGAATCCACAACGAATGTGTTTAGAAAGCCGCGACAGTCACGCGCGGTTCCCTTCCCAAAAAGGTATCAGCTCTTCTGCAAGCCAAACACGGGGGCAGAAACTAGAATGCGTGCTGCAAAAACACCGCTCCTCTGCTTTGCAAAGGCTGGATGCGAAGCGCGACAGAGGAGTTTCCCACACAATGCTGAGTGACAGGAGACGGCAACCAGTTCAGGCTGTCTAGGCGCACTGTCCCGCAGTTTCAAAGCTTTGGCCCGAGCCTTGCCGAAGTCCGAGCTCATGAGCGGCGTGGCACAATGCCTAGCTTTGACCCCTTTCCAACAGGCGCCGTTAACAGAAGCGAAGCCATCCAACACGGCTTATCATGCTGCTCGATTTTCATCTTGCGCAACAGAGAATCAAGAAGCAGTTTGCACCACCATCTTCATAATGCCTCGTTCAGGATCGCTAACCGGATTCTGAAGGGACGTGCATAGCTCTGCTCGAAAGGCCTCAAAGTAGGCTCAATGCTGGCTCCTAAACGATCAGTCTACGAGTCCGCTACCTCTCCGTGTGAGTGTCCGCCGGTGTGTTGAGGTCATCTGCTTGTTTGCCCTTCCATCCATAAGAGACTTAGCATCTTCTAGAATGCAAATCATGTACCACGCTCTTTGCTTCCAACAAAGTTCAGCAGACTCGAATAGAATGAGCAGATGCATAACTTCCACCTGGATTTTCCTGAAGAGGAGTCCAGGAGGCTCCTACTCTACAGTCCGGATGTATGTCCATTCCAGGTCGGGATGTTGAGAAAGCCACATAACGCGTTCTGTTCCGTACCAAAAACCTCTCTGGCGGTGTAGACTCCACTCCGTTGACAAAATGCCGTGCGATCTCATCTAGCCTTTCATTAGAATTTTCCGTGACCTCAATTAGGCCGCAGCAACAATGCACTTGATTGTACGTGTGCGTATTGTATCGAGCACTTGACAAGCTAGCTGCTAGACCACTTCGAATATTTTTTGAGAGGAGCAATCCACCCTGCACAAACCGCAAAGTGAGCTCAGCGCCTCACCTCACTGTCTCTGTGCAGAAACGGCTCAAACCGCGCGTTGACCGACCGGACCTTGACCCCCGTCACCTCGTCCGGGTTGCTAACCACCATTTTGCTTTTCAACCTCTGAAAGTTTGGCTTTTCACTCGCCATCCCGGGCAAGTCAGCCGTCGACTCAAGGTCGAGCTCCTCATCGAGCTCCGCATCGAGCGCCGCATGTTTCGACCCAAACACGTCGCTCCACCCGGTGGACTTTCTGGTGAGGCGCGCGTTACTCCGTTTGCTGCTGCCTTCCGAACCTCTTGGCGATCGAAGAATGCTCCCCCCCCCCCTCCGCCCCCCCGGAGAGCGCGGTCCACCCCCTCCGGCGCTGTCTTTCGGCCCCCTGGAAGAGCGTGCCCCCCCCTCTCCGCCCCCTGGAGAGTGCGGGCCATGAGAAAGGCCATCTGCGCCCCCCGCTCCATTCATCTCTGCCTCGTCTTCATCGTCGAGCTCCTCGGAACTGAGCGTGTCCCGCCGGCCGACGTGTAACGCAGTGGGACGAGCATTTGAGCTGGATGTGCTGGCTACGCCCCCACGGTTGTCAGTAGGGGCAGGTTCTGGGGCCACCGCAGCCCCCCAGAAGAAGCCCATGCATTCAGTGTACCTTCCGCCCCTCGGTTATCTGCAGCTGACTGACTGACTGCAGCTCACTGACTGTCGGCCGCTCACAGGATCTTCTGATTCAAGGCCCTTTGGTTGGATGAGAGCTGCTTGCAGTATGCAATGCACGTCTCACATGCTCTGTTTGTAAGTCTTTGCTGCTCATTGATGCAGAAAGTGACCTGTCTTGCTTCAAATCTTGACTGGATTGGACGTGGTGGAAATAAAGTCTTGAGTGGTTTCTTTAGAGAAGCTATCTTAGCTGCAGTTGCTGGGACAAGAAAGGTTTCGAGCTCCTGCTGGTCAAAAGCTGACGACTTCTGTAGCGAGTGGGGACTTCTGCAAAAAGAAGCACATCCACCTCACTGTCAACAGTCTGGATCCTAACCGGACACCCCCTCTAATGCAGCTCATTTTGAAATCTCATTCAATCATCTCTGATTCGTTCAAAGAGACGTGATGCTGCAACTACGAGCTAACCCCAGCAGGTGGCAAAAGAGCAATGCATTGAAGTAAAGGAAGCCACACTTCTCACTTCAGCTCTTCAACTCTGGATTCACAGAACTCAGCAACTGCCAGACAAGTTTTCCTGGAGTACTTAGTCATACAACGAACACGCGCATTGCTGACAACTGAAGCGCCGCCGGAGCGCGAGCTCCGCCCTAGAACACCGGACCTGAGCGCAGAGATCATGGGAGCTCATGTGGCCATTGCGTCACATGCGAACTGACTGTAGTCTTCGCTTTGTGGCAGGAGTGAACTTGAAGACGACTGCCCCCGCAAACCAGGAACATGGTCGATCAGCCGCATTCTTGACATCAGAAAATACTTGCATCAAGAGAGGGGCTGTCGTTGTGAAATGGTACCTCCGGTGAGTACCTTCCAAGTACAGGATATATGTCCCACGTGACGATTCGTTACCCTTTCTGTATCTACTGCGTTGTCGTAGGTATCCGTCATTGCTGCTCCAGGGCTGCTCCTGTTCACACAAGACCAGTGTGCCGGCTACCTTTTGCTCAGTAAAACGCAGTCACAATGTATGAATGTACGGATCATCTCGACTCCCGAGTGCATACATGCAGTCCATAGAAAAGCGAAGGGAACTGTACATACAGTATCTTGAGAGTCTGGCAGGTGTCAAGTGGATAGCCTAGCTGGTTGATCCCTGGTCCAACTACTGTTTGGTGAACCACGCGCGCGAAAATGGTGCGAGTTTAATCCGTCCATTGGTAGCAGCTGGGAAAGCATCGACGGAGCAAATACAGTCAAACTGCATTGGTCAAAAGTGGTACGAAGGTGTCCGGTCCGTACCGTACTCGAACTTCGAAACTCAAATTCGAAACCTCTCAAGACCAGTGATTAAAGTGGGCGTAGGCCATGCATGGACACCTCGGGCGGACGGTGAGATTGGGACTCGAGAACTATCATCGGACGGCTACGGGCTTGATTTGTTTGACACGGTACGGAACCTTTCGAAGACCAGCGCACTGCGGTACCGACCGAAGCTGGGCATCCGAGCAGGGACCGGAGGCTGTCCGGAGGTATGGTACCAGTGGGTACCGCGGTTCTCTACTAGTGACGTCGTCCTCCGTCAGCGTTTAATGGGCACAAAAAGGATGGGGCAAAAGAGAGCAAAATGTCAAAGTTTCCGGATTCGAGCCCGGGCCTGTTGATTTCAAGGCGAGCGCGCTTGCCACTCGGTCAAGTTGCAAAAGCTGCAGGTGCGGATGCCAAAATTGGCCGCGAGAACACGGTCTTATACCCTGACGCCCACCTTAACAACCCCCTAAATCCGTGGCGCACAAAAGTGGGCATACGGGCCTGCGAGCGCCGCACACCAGTGTGCGGCTGCCCTCGAAAAGTGCCGCACACTTTCTGCTGGGTTGAGCGAGAACGTGGCCACTAACTAGCTTGAGCCCACTGCCCAGGGTCGCTGCGCTTGGTTTCAGCCGGGTCCATTTTTTTACCTGTCTAACCTGCGAGAAAAATGCGCCAGCTAGGATGCTTGTTGCGCGCACTTATAAGGAGCACGTAATAGCCTTCTGGGGTTTCCAAAGGCCTTCTGTACATATGTGCATGCTGACGGTACATAAGCATGTGGGTCAGCAGTATAAGCAGTGGCTTATTGCCCAGTAAGGGAAGCCTACTTATTTGGCAGTTGTCTTCAAAGGCACGTCGATGCGGCTGTATATATTTGGAATATATAGAGAAGGGAAGTAGATATCTGGGGGCGCTCGTTCATATAAGGTAAGCTAAGCTTGACGGTTACCGGGGCCCGGGCACAATGCTCGGACGCAGATGAATTCCATAAATCGAGGCCGGAAGTGCCCGGTAAAAGTTGCTTGAAGCCGGTTCAAGGCCGTCTTTTATGCATTTTGGCCAATAAGAGTCCGGTATTCCGGGTGCAGGCTTGCATCATAGGCGCACACAGTGTGCGGCTGTGTCCCGAATTCTGCCGCACAAAGGTGGGCGGCTGGCCTGCGGCCAGCCGCACAAATCCCGAAGCCAGCCGCACTTTGTACCTGGCGCGTGCGCGGCGCGTTAAACACTGCTCAAGACTCAACCGTCGGGGGCAAGAACGGGCCGCCCGCGAGCGGCCCGCGTTGCGCATCCGACCTCCGGCACGTGATCGGACTGCCGCTAGCCTGCGCGCATGGCTAGCTAGCGGCGTACCGCGTGACCCGCTAGCTAGCGCGGCCGCCTGGCTCTGGCGCAAGCTAACGTACGCGGCCTTTCAATGGTCGGCATAACTTAAGCTCTTAATGATTACAATATGCCGGCACGTACCAGCACTGCGGATCTGAGCCCGCGGCTCGGCTGCCCCGCGATTACCATGTGCCGCGGCCTCTGGCTTTCCACGAACATTGCCGTCACCTTATAAGTTGGCCGCCTAGATGAGTTGCATGTACGTATAGCTTCATTGTGCGAGAATAGTCTGCCGCCTGCAATCATTCCGGGCGGCCGGGCTGCGCAGATTAAAGAATAGCCTTTAGGCTGAGCTGTCAGGACGATGATGCAGCTTCGAGCATTCAAGTGCACCTGCCGCCATGCATAATTAATGATGCTATACGATTGACAAATACGTATACAAGCGCTCGCTTGCGCTCATCAAGGTACATGATCAGGCCATGCATGCTCAATACAAGCAGGTCTACAATAATCCACTTGTTTTTGAGTTACAAGCCTTGAAGGCGCCATCCCGATTATCTAAGGGCCGGTCAGTCCCAATGCCATACAAGCACAATGAACATCTATAGACCAGGACATAAAACGTATGAAGATTCAACACTTCTGAAAAATCCTTGACAACGAGTTTAATGACACCGTAGTTCAGTCGAAGTGTCATTCACATCATTCTCGACCCGCCGGCGTCGGGCCCTTCTTTCCAAAGACAGTCTCCCTGTTCTCCAACACCTTCTCCTTTCTCAACCGCCAATGCCGTTGCACGTCCCTCGTCGATTTGACGGAGGCAAGCCGGGAATCCCCTTGCAAGTGGGCGTCCTTATCTTCCCACCACTTGTACTCAAACTCCCGCGTCTTCAACCAATCCTTAAAATCTTCGTCTTCCTTCTCATCTGACCGTCCATCGTCATCTTCGTCTAACCGACCCAAAGACTCTGAAGACTCGCCGGCGCCAACGAGCGCCCCGGATTCCGCGTCGATTCCTGCTTCCGGTTCCGTTCCCCTGGAGCCACTCGTCCCCCCCGCTTCTGCTAAGTCGGCAGGCTCTTCCCCTTCCGAATACAGTGAACTGCTTTCCCCCGGAAACCCGGAACCCCGCCCATCGGTCTGCACCCTTCGCGAGTTCCCCGCTTCCCCACCCCGACCAATCGACCCCCCATTCTCGCCCGCAGAACTGACCGGTTCCAAGCCCCCGGTCTCAGCTTCCGTTTCTTCCTTCACATCCTTTTCCAAACCTTCCTCCAAACCCTCGTCTGAACCGGCCACCAAACCCTCCGATTCCTCCTCGTCTTCGGACTCTTCGTCTAACAAAGTCTCTAACCCCTGTTTCGCTAGCTTCCGCGACTCACGCCGATGCTTCTGGGGCGCCAACCGCGGCTCCACTTTCGGCTTCCCAGTCGCCCCGTCCGTCTTCCGCACCCGTACCGCGCTCTCCCGTTTCGTTCCGTACGCCCACCGCTCCTTATCCTCCCGTTCCTTGACCTCCGCCATCAACCGCTTATACTCCTCGTACCGTTCCCACGGCGCGAACCCCTCCTGATACTCGAACACCTCGCGCTCTTCCAGGCTCCCGTCGGGCCCCTCGACCACCATTACCGAACCGTTACCATCCGCGTCCGACCGTTTCCGGCGGCCGGACACGACGCAGTCGGGCTCGGCGAGGTGTTTGCAGTCTTTGTAGGCGCAGTGGCGGCCGGCCGCGTGGGCGGCCGCGAGGCGTTGGCGGATCTCCGGGAAGCAGACGGGGAGCTCTTGCTCGGTAATTTTACTAAGGGCGGGCAGGCTGAAACCGGGGGTGTCGGCCAGTAGACCCCCCAGGGGCAATCTGCAACAAGATCAAGATGGGCAATTTGCTACAAGATTAGGCTGAGCAAATTGCGACACAATTTGACTCAAGTTCTGAGGTTGTTTAAGATCTAGATGGATTATTTCCGATTTCGGAAATAATCCATTGTGCTTTGAGCAGAATATGTTTGGCGGTCGGTGGGTACGCAATTGATGTTGGGACTGTTCGAAGACGTGTCCAGAGAAACGAAGACCGTAACATGACTTGGACGTGCACAATTACCCAAGAAGTGTATTCGAAAGAGGGTGCTCAACAACCTGCTTCTTGAAAAGAAGGTGCTAAGGAACAACGGCGACGTTGAGAAACCAGGAAAGATTCCAGGTGATGGGAACGATCTCGAACCGCTGGCTTTTTCTTTCATCGCCAACGCCCAAGGATCGTCCGTGAGCTCTAAAACAAATGACCCACAGACGGCTTGGAACATGATTTATTCGACGGCCCTCTAAGGCACACGTGGAGGATCGTGAAAGCCTCCAAGACATCTTAACACGCTGAAAAGGAGATACAATATCATACTGCGATGAAACCACGAAAAGAGGCCAGCAACATAGGCAGCTGGGGTCAGAAGGGCCGAGACGATACGACTTTGTCGTACACAGGCTTCGCTCAGGATTGTGCATATGGGGCGAACTTACAGAGAAACAAATCTGGTGCTTGCAGACCGAGCGATTGCTTTTTGGCAAGTCAGAGTCGAAACAATCCAGAGATCCGCCCATTTCCAAACAGCGGACTGATTCTCTGACACGAGGCCACATTAATGGACGACGTCAGGCAGGCAGAGGTAGCCACTTCATTGTCTGCCGCTGCTCATTCTGACGTCGACCTTCTTCCCTTGACGCAGATCAGATGGACAGCTGTCCTTGCACCCAGATAACCGAAATTTCTCACCTTATTAGCACGATGCTCCGGGTCGTATGCCTCCCGAGCCCACTCTTCGCAGACACCGCACTGACCGCCAAACTCTCCCCGGCAGTGTCGATCCCGTCCCCCTCGCTCGCCCCAGCAGATTTTGACACCGTCGCCCCGTCCCCTCTCTCTGCGACCGTCACCACGCCACGGACGTCACCCCCGTCCCGGTTTTCACCACCCACATTGCTGACGACACCGTCGTCGTCAGCATGTGCTCCAGCGAGCCGTACCGAATCTTTCCTGAGCCGGTTAATCAAACTCGACTTCCCGGCCCCGCTTGGACCGGCCACGACGGTCGTCTTTCCGCTCAGTTCCCGGAAGACGCCCTCCAGACCCTCGCCCCCCTCGACGCTCAGAATGTGAGCGTTGTAACCCCACCCCGCGAGGCGCTCCTTCCAGGCTTGCGCTGCACCTGGGGGTGCCAAATCGGCCTGAAAACAAGCAGTACAAAATGTAATTCTTACAAGCTCTTTCTCATGATGGTCCTGAGTGCCTCCTACGGAAGAGCTTTAGAAGGGTGATATTGATGATCACGGGTTCGAAGGGTGGCAGGGTATTCCGCCTGCCTGTGTAGGTCGGCGAGAAACTGCAGTAACAGGCTCTTTGACGAACTATGTAACTTAAGGAGACCTGGATATGTTATCTTCCACCAGGCCACTTGGAGCCACATCGTAAAGCGCCGCCAAGAAGAGTACATACCAAAGCAGGGAACAAACTTTACGGACAGATTGTAATAACAATAGAGCATCCTCACCTTATTGAGTGCCAGTGTGAACGGGATTCCCGCATGCTCTGCCGCTACGAGGAACCTGCTAAGTTGGATCGGTTCAAGCGGCGGTCGCGCCAGCGCAAAAAGGACCAGGAAATGGTCCACATTCGCGATTGGGGGATCCTCCATTTGACTTTTCCTCTCCACAATCTCCTCGATCATTCCCCTCCCCTCCACCCAGTCTATTGCACTGACTAGCACCCTGTCCCCCACTAGGACTCGTTTCCGGATCTTCTTCAGTAGGGCCCGGACCACGCACAGCAGCTCGGAGCCGTTCCTGGGGCTGCCAGCTGGCGCCGAAGCCTGGCCAGCTGTCGCTATCTCGCCACTGACTGTCGCCTTTTCCCCTCCAGCTGTCGCCGCTTCGTCGCCAGCTGTCGCTTCGCTCTTCTCCACCAGGACGCGCATGAAGTTGGCCTGAGAAGTGACTACCTGACCTAATGCCTGGTCTTCTCTCAACACAACTTCGGATTCGATGAGGTCTTCAGAGCCCGCGGTTCCAGCGGGAGGCGCCCACTGAACGCTCCGTTTTCTCCGGACTTTGGGACGGCCGCCACCTTGACAAAGGAGAGAGTCAAGTTGGAAGGGGGGCTAATAAGCCCGGACTGTGGTAAACTACAAGAGGCTTCGACCCTCATATACTTCAGTTGACCGGGACTTGATGCTCTGACACCCTTAATGTGAACTGAGCGAAACAGTACCTGAGTTGCGAGTCTTTGAATGTTGGTTTGCGACTCCTCGACTGTCCCTTTAAAGGACCCTGCACATTGTGGGATCTCAAATCGGAGTTAATGAAACCTATTGCACTTCAAAAAGTCCACCGACCACAGAAACTGTTCAGGCTGGGCTCAAATACATCTATTTCGGTCAAGGGGGAACATGCCAGCCAATTCACAGAACAAACATATAAGCACGGCCTTTCGGTTCAGACTTTGACGACACAATCCCAAGGGCAGACTTGCCATCTTCCGAAACAAGAGTCGGAGAGTATGAGCCGTCACTTGAACCAGATAGACAAACCCCCACTAAGACATCAAAGGAGTTGCCAAGATGCGAACGTCTTTCAAACACATTCTACCACCATTCACAACAAAAGGGTGGTGCAGATTCCAAAAAACGATGGAGGCCGCCCCACCTGTCTTCCTAGACCCTGCCGCCCGTACGGCCAGCCGGACTCGCTCGGCAATCTCGTCCTCATTCAGCGACGATTGCCGGCCGTGTTTCTCTCTCACGAAGAAGCCCCGCCTCAAGCCCAAGTAGCTTGCCCCCCAGAAACCCCATCGATCGCTCAGGCTTGAACCTCTACATTCAACCCCAGGAACAGCCTTGTAACTAGAGGAGGGAGGGGAGTGCCAGCTGAAGGTGGTGGTACCCAGGACACGAGAGAGGCTCCGGCGGAGCAGAACGCTGTGCACTGCCATCGCGCTGTCGAGGGCAAGGAAACGAGAAACAACCAGGCAGAGGTCACTCTTTTCTCCTGTTCAGGAGAAGATAGTTTCCCAGCTCCTCTACGATTCTTCTTTTCAAAAGATGGAAGAAAGATACAGAAGCGACGGCTGGTGGGCCAGGTAGCATTCTAAAGTGTGGCTTGGCTTTAAAAGGGGCTGAAGGAGGTCTAGCTCGCTGATTGCAAAGTTGGCTGGAACAGTACGGCTAGTATTGCAACTGGGCAGCGCACAGGTTCGGTCCTCATCTCGATGCATGAAGCACGTGCGAGTCCGCAGTAGCCTTGGTTTGAGGAAGGCCAGCACTGCGATTATCCCCCTCAGGCTTTATGTATGTATGCTTCTTTTATATCGTCGTCGAGATCCTCTCCGCCTTCTCTTCGGAACCCCATTCCCTAGCCTACTGAGTCCTAGCCCTAGCTCTGCTTCACAGACTTTCAAGTTCCAACCACCGGTACGTACTGCCCGTCTGCCATGGTACCCGTAGTTCAACGAAATTAAGGGTGGCGGAAATTGGAACGCCCAGGATGCCATAAGCCGGTGACCTTTGTGAGAGGCGTGGGTCATTGGCCTGGCGGCCAATGCCCTCAGGCGGGTAGCCGAATCTCGATTTCGGCCATACTGATGGCGCATTGGCTCCGTTAATTCTGGGTCTCCGAAGCCGCGGTCCGGTCATCGGACGGTTCAGAACATGTTTGGTCCAATTTAGAGCTGTCATGCTGACGCAATCCGAACCATGGCTGCCCAGCCTCAACGAGCTTCCTCGTTGGACCAAGGCTGCTGTCAGCAGCGGCGCACCTCATGCTCTTGAAGATACATAAGAACATAAAGATGAAGCTTCTGTACATGTAGTGTATTCAAAATGCAAGCTGTGGATGCTTCTTTCAGCTTCAGAGATGGTCATCTACCCCTTGTGCCAGGGCTCGGGGTGGCAACTCCAGTTTTAAAATAGATGGCGTTTTTATTTTGCCTTTCTTGCAAAACGGCCCAAAAAATTCATCCAATGTTTTATTCAATACCCTCAAGTATCCCTTTCTCTCTAGTTTCTAAATCACTACTCGTTTTGAAATTTGGGCCCCCCCACAAAAAGTAAAACGGTTTTAAAACACTTTAAAACGCCAAAATCTTAATACATGTATCTGCGGGTTAGGCGGACCTCAAAATAGCCCGTTTTATAAAACAAACAAAACATCAGAACGTTTTAAAACGCCCAAAATCTGTATTAAAACATGAAAAGTCAGTACCTCGAGCTCTTTTCGGCCTCTTTAGGCTTTATATTGTTCAAAATTATGCTTCTATGCTGCATACGAGCACATAACAAGTCGATAGCCGTAATAAAAACAAGAAAAAGCATACAAAGCGTATCTTTTCCACCGTTTTAAAAACGTTTTAAAACGTTTTAAAATGGCGTTTTAAATTTCCAAAACGACCAAACCTCTTGTTTTAATTTGCGAATTCTCGACGTTCGTAGTTAGTCAAAATTACGGTTCTCTGCTGACGAGATTGCTAACCCGCTTTTGCAGCTTGAAAAGCTGCAAGTCCGCGCGAGATCTTTCAATCTGTCGCTCTGCAAGAAAACTTCACAGCGCAGGGAGGACGGCGCCTCCCTGCTTCTGCAAGTGCCCGCCCGCGGCCTTCGGACGCTTCCCCCCCCTTTGTGTTGAAACGGTACCTGCAGGTTGCAGCTGTTATGAAGTTCTGCGCCTTTTTCCTCTTACCACCCAACAGCATGCCCCCCTTTCTTCTTAGTATCGTTCTGTGTAGTTGCTGATGGTCCATTCCGTCGAGTGCCTGGTGGACTGCAAGTGGAGGTTGCGGGCAGGATGCCGCGACTCTGGCTCCCAACACCAGCAACCATGCACGGCTCTTCAAAATGTTCGAGCTGTCGTCGGCTGCCAGTCACATAGCATCAGTAGCCATTCTCTTGTGCGTAGTTCAATGGTCATAGCGGGGATTTTTGGAGGGTTCATCGAAGTTGGTGTAATTGTGAGGATACGTAGTTGAGAGTTGTAGTAACTCAAGTTCGGTTGTCGCGTTAATGGGTACTGAGCGCTCATTAATTGAATTCGACAAAACGGGTCAGATCCAAAGTATAGAAAGCCAGGCGGCGAATAGCTTTCTACAGATATAGTAGGATCTCGAGATGAACACTTTGGCCCAATGTGCCGGCACCGCCTCTATTGAGAGCATGATTGTCGGCTCAGGTTGATCGAGCGCTACCCCCAACGGGGACGTTCTGTGAAGCCCTTGCACGAGCCACTCGCCTACACTCGTGCACTTCACTTCATTCTCATCTCATGCAGTGCATATTGTGAATATTGCACTGCATAGAATCTCGCAATAGCAGAGAACCGCAGATACCATGTTTTAAAATTGGGAGTTGCTACCCCGGGTGCCAGAGCTCCAAAGTGTATCGTATGGTTTTCGGAAGCGCGAAAGCACCTTATTCTGCCCTTGCAGCAAGCCAATTGCAGGCTGTCCCACAGTCAAAAAGCACCTTTCTTGTCCTGTATCAGCTAACACATGCGAATAGGACAAGGATTTTGCAATGAATTGATGCATAGAGCTGCATTCAGGGTGCCTTCAGCCTAAGGTGCCATGGCGGAAGCCATGGCAACCAGCTCAAATGGCCTTTGTCCAGCTTTGTGTCTGATCTGCAATAGACTCACGGTCTGTTTAGGTTTATTAGCCTCCTTCTTCCCCGATATTGACAGCCCGATCGAGCGGTTCTAAGATTGATAATTTCAATCGGACGGTTCCGCTATGCGATTTACGGATCTCTCAGGCAAACCCAGATTCGGCTACCCACCTGCCTCCGCGATTAAAGTACAGGTGTATAAGGTAGCTGTATATTCAGCGGCAATATCGAATAAAAGGGGATATCCTTGTTGACGCCTGGCGTTTTCCTTAAAATGATGGCGACTCACAACAAGCTAGACCGCTCGATTGCTCCACACGGAGCGCACCGCACATCGGAGACTGCTCGCGTACTCTCATGTACATTATATGAATCAGTCTAACTTCAATGCTAGCGCGCATATTGCCGGTGGTATGACGGTATGGCCCGTCAGTGAGATCTGACAGTCCGCGAATGTCGACCGCACAATATACTTTCGACAACTTTCGCAGACCGTTAGTTCTAAGTTCTGACTTCGTCGACGAATCGATACGCAGACCTTGAGACCCTTCGATGACCTAAATGCCCTTCATCGAACGGCCCAAGTTCTGCAAAACCTGGCCGGTGTGTCCGGTCAGAGCTGATTGTAAAACTTATTCACGGGCATAGGGGCCGAACTTGGGCCGTTAGATGGAGTCCTTCTGCGTCATCCAAGGGTACTTGTTCTGCGCATCGGCAAGTTCTGCGATCGGTCCCAATCGGTTCTCGGGTCAGGCGGCCAGGTTTGACAGAACCAGCAATACACTCAGGACGGTCCAACGGTCAAGTTGTGACGGTCAAACCTGTGACGGTCACAGGTTTGACCATCTGTACCTACACAGCAGCTGTCCCTGGAGATGGAAGCGAAGCACCCTAAGCGAGAATATCTTCAAACCTCTGCAGCTTTTTGCCCGTGAAATCCGGTAAAGGCCCATTAGGCTACGGTCAAGTAGACTAAAAAGCTTTTGACCGGCTCACGTAGTACAGTAACACGAAGTCCTGCTTTGCTTCTGCCATGTGCACAGCGAAAGGCTGAGGTCCAAATGAAAGACGCCTCTCTTGAAGAAGGGCGGATTCCACCTTTGCGGAGAAACGTTGATGGCCCATGCGAGCCCCCTGCTCTGCAGGCTAAAGAGCACGAGAAACAGGACATGCCCCATTGCTTCAGTTAGACATCACGCAGACTCTTTGATTGGCGGAGGTCATTTTGCACTTACCCCCCCTCCCTGTCTTCTTCCTGGTTCCAAGCACTTCTTTTCACAAGGGGAATCCACTTTGGGAGGACGGTTGGTAGCTGTGAACGGGTTCTGTGGCGGGGGTTCGGGTGCAAGAGCCGCACGGCGTTCAAACAAACACAGCAGGAGCAGGAGTGCGGTGTCCCAGAGTGCGCCAAATACAGGTTTAGCTGATTGGCAGTGTTTAAGTCCTTCAGGACGAGGAGGTGTGGCAGTGCGTTGTGGGGGCAAAGAGGAGGAGAGTCGCTTTACTTCAGATGTGCCACCTCACCATGTTGCGGACATCAGCGAGCGTCCCGTGTTTTCAACAGGGAGCAATTTAGGAGTTGAAGCCCATTGTGCTGATGTGTCTCGTGGAGATGGTGGTGCAAATCCTTCTTTGAAGTCGAGTTTTGAACCTGAGCCGTCGGCCGCTTCTAACCCAGATTCAAAATTTCCCTCAGATCCCCAAACTGACCGAGCAGTTGGATGTATAACTGCCCCCGGGACTGCTCTCTACTTTCCTAGAAGCGTTGCATTGGTTTGCACTGTAGCGCTTATCACCACAGCTTTGATCAACATCTCCCCCCCTGCCGCATTCGCCGGCGAGCCGTCCCGTCGTAACAAGCTCCGAGACCAGCGCCTGGCATGGGAGAAAAGCGCGAAGCGCAGCGGCGCTGCGCAAAAGAAGGGGCAGATCCTGGGCGGTTTTGTGGAGTTGTCGCGACAGCCGGAAGGCCCTTCGAGGGTCGACGTTGACCTTGAAAAGGGGGCCACTTATGTTCGCCGGAAGCTCTACAAGGCCCGCTATCTTTCGGAAGAGGCGATCGAGGACTTCAGACGAAGTCTGCGGCGCTCGAAGTACATTCGACCGCGGCCGCTGAATTACTTTCAGCGGAACCGTGAGGCGACGTCAGCGATTCAGCTGGGGCTCTTCCTGGTCGTTCTCATCGCTGCCGTGCGCTGGTTTTTGAGGTTAGCGAAACGGAACCGTTGGGGCTGGGCGGAATGGTACAAACCCGGAGCCCCCCAGATTGGAAGCAGAGTTCGGGACCGCTCCCTCGGGGGAAGAGAAGTCTCCGTTGGGAACCAGTGGGAATGGCCTAGCTGGCTGTGGGGGGGCGAGAAAAAGTTTCGGCGGCAGACCTTGGGGGGGGTGCGAAAGGGGGCCGGGATAACCGAAACGGTTAAGCACGCTAACCCGCTTGATTATGAGGTGGATTTAAGGAGCGAGAAGGAGCTGAGACTGGCGAGGCTGCGACAGGAAGAGCGGCGGGCGGCTCTAGAGAGGAGGCGGCAGGTAGGGTTGCATTCGGTTGTTTGCCTAAAACTTGCATTTGGGTTTCCAGCATTTGGAGCACGATTTCTTGATCTGGACCGATGGAATGACATTGGACGACTCAAGATTGTGGACCAGATCTTAAATCCCGAAGCTGAGGGGGCAAGTTTGACAGAAAAAGTTGTAGTGTTTGACGACCAGAACGTGCGCATAGCTGTCTTTTGGGATGTCCCAAAACGTTGATTGTGTTCTTGCAAACCCAGTCGCTGGGGCTGACAATAAATCCTTTGATATAGACCTTTGATAAACCACGTTGTGGCGCTTAAAGCTGCTTCAATCCGCTGTTCTGGGCCTTGTCCAACAATTGAAAGCATCGGAAGACCAAGCAGAGATACATTGAAACCACAGTCACTTGTAATCTAGATCCATGCGTCAGTACGGACGCATGAAATGAAGTATATATTGGCTGACGCTCACTTGCCAGGTGGAAGAACTGCCCGGGTGGTGGCCTCGGGAGTCGTTGTTGCCCCCGGTCAAAGTTTCTGACAGCCGAAAGGAGGTCGGACGGTTCGAGGCCCAGCAGCTGCTGCAACGTGAGCCAATTTCTCTTTTTCGGTTCTCTTCCTGTCTGTTTCGTTCTCTTACCTTGCATTTTTCTTCTCTTCTTTTCTTTTCTTCTCCCTTTATCCCTTTCATTTCCTCCTCTTTGCCTCTACGCTCTTCTGTGCCCGTTTAATTTCTTCCTTCCTCTCCTTCTTTCTTCCTCTTTCGGCTGCTTCATTCTGCCAAGGATTATGTGCATTTGGACGAAATTCCTGCAGAGCTGTTGGACGCTTGCGCCTCTTGGTTCCTTGCCCATGCTCACTAATGTGCAAGGCTTTTTCTGGGAAATGAAGAGTCGTTACTGTGTCAGAACGTCTGACGCTTCTCTTAATTCGGAACACGAGCAAGCTTTGGCGCCGCATATCAGTGTACTCTCCATTATTCCTTTGTGAGTTGGTTTCGCCGCTGTCCTGAAGAGCAAGACACCGATTATCATGTGCGCCGCGCGCGTCTCGTTAACAATGATGAACGACGAAAGATTGAGGACTATGGGTGGACCCGAAAAGCTCGTCTGTCTGTAAGAAGACAGCGTAATATTGGTACCGTTATGCTATTTGTCATCTGAGGAGCTCGATAGATTCCTTTCGAGCCGTTTGGGGTGTGTCGCGCTTCTCCTTTCCTTTCCTTTCCGTTCTTTCGGGTCAGTACCGAGCTTATTAATCCTCAATCCTTTAACGCGTTCGAATCCAACTCTTAGAAATTCTCGTCGAATCGAAGTCGGAGTGACGACGACGATACGTACAGCATGATAGTGCTCGGGACTCGAGACTTGCGCCAGTCAGCAGTCTGTGTTTACTCTACTCCAGGCGAACCCTGTGCTAACCCAACTTTCTACCCGGGTTCTAGGGATGGTTAACATGCGGGTTGAGGGGCGAGATCCATCCCTGGAGGACATAACCGTGCTCCACGAGACTTGCCAACTGTATGGCGTCAGCGTGACGTTTGACGCAGCGTCAACGCAGGAGAGCTTATACAGGGTGGCGATCCAGCATAAGGTGGGGCAGCTTATGAGGTGGGTCGCCAGCTTATGATATTAACGGAGGCATTTATTGGATCAGGCATTGGAATTCGGCTTCTTGGTAGGGCTGAAGCTGCAAAAGTGACGGAGCTTCTACTGATCAATGCAATCCCCTCGGAAACATCCAGGGTGCTTCGAAAGTCCTCGCTGTAACATCTGCCCGCATCAAGACATTTTTGCAATATGCACCAAACAACCAAGTGACGTCATCCATGCACTCGTCCTCTGCAGAGCCGCCGGGTATGACGTCATCGACCTCTCAATCCGGCTGCCTGCCGCCCGTTTCGTGGGGCTTTTGTCGGGCAATCTGGGCATCCTTCCTCGGAGAGCCGTGGAGATCGTCGAGTCGTCTGTCGCGGCCAAGACGAAAGCGAGCCTTACTCAGGCGTATGTGAGGGCCTGTGCTCTCTCGCGTCTTTTCATTGTCTTCTTTGTTGACGTCTGTCTCTTCGTACCCGGAAGACGGGTGATTTCTCTCGTTGATTTGAACAGAAAAGACAGTTGTTTGGCACTCTGGATGGCAAATTGTCGAATTGCTGAAACGACGTAGTGAAGGGGATTCTTCCTATCGTCTGCATTGTGGGCTTGAGAAGCAGCGAAGCGCCTTTCCGTAAGATATGCCAACTGCTCTTCACACCTGATTGAGCTCGAAACATCCCATCATTCAAAGATTCTAGAATCTGTGCGTTTTCGCTTTTATCCTGCCTGGGTTTTAAAAGAAGTAATCCTGCATCGATTGTTTTAGCTTTCTCATACGGCGCACCTGGCCTCGATATGTCCCTTTGCTCACAGCTTACACTAGACTCTTGTCATCTGGGCGTAACGAGTAAAGGACGACGCACGTCAACTTTCTGACGATCCAGATTTCCGGCGGTCTTTTGCACCGTCCAAATGCGAACGGAGACATGTGTCTTCCGCGCAAACGACCAAGTTCTTCAGTTTTTCACAAGGCCCAACGCAAGTCTAGTCATGGTTTGCATTTCTCAATTTTCCCGTAGGCACTGATGAAGCAAGGGCGAATCAAGGAGCTTCGACAAGAGCTGGCGGGCCTGGCTCTCATTCTGTCCACCTTTCCGCTGCCTCTTGATTCGGTGAGGGGCACGGGGCGTCCCGTCAGTTGTACTGTCCTCATCGTCTTACTTTTTGTTGTTTGCGACCAGTCGAAGCTTTCTGTTTTCTTGATTCGCTTCCTACTGGTCGCATTCCGTCGATTGTCGTCTTCATCTCCTCAGCTCGCCACAGTGCTATGTATATACGAGGGTTATCTGGATGTCCATTTGGATTCTCACTTGGGCTTAATCGAGCGTTTCGGCTCAGAATCTTCGCCTCTTGGGGAGCAAAGTTTCAGTTGTTTCCTAAGGGCCCCTGAATATGAGAAGACCCTGGCCCGTCCGTCGGAGTCGGAAGGCGGTTTCTCTAGGCAGTTGTAAGCTCAAAGTTCAGCCTCTCGGGAAGCTCGAACGATGACCCGAACTGGACCTGCACGTAAGGTGGCTTGGCTTTGTCATAAGATGATGGGAAGCCCCCTCTCCTGGCCCTTTTGCTTAGAAATGACCTGTTTGCGAGCAGGCGACGGACGTCCTTGTTGGGATTGAAATTAGATTCGGTATACTCTATGAGCTGCGGCTGTTCTCCCCCCCCACTTAAATGACAGGGAAGTTACAGTAGGTCGGACATACAGGGCGTTGTGGTGCGGAACAGGTCATTCAAAGATTGAGTCTTCTCACTCGTAAATCTGCAGGCGAAGCTCGAGCTGGTGGGCGATGGGCTGTCGGCTCGAATACCGTCGGAGGAACGCGAAACACTCCTGCAGGAAGTGTGCGCCGTGATTGGGCAGAAACTTCGTTCGCCTTCCGAAACCAGCGGCACTTCGAGTTTGGGTGGGGTTGAAGAAATGGCGGCAAGGGCTCTGGGTTTGACGTTATCATAGCGACAGTCCAAGACTTGATTCGTCCTAGATGTTGTACCCTAAACAAAGTTGATTTTTGGAGACTACTGCTCAAAGCATATTAAGAAGTGGGTTCTCGATTGACATATCTATCGGTCTTATAAGTCTAGCAAGTGCCATGCATGCATCTAGGTTGGATTGTGGAGCCATCTCACTTGAGCTTTAAATGTCGTTTTCAACCAAACACGGTTACCCACGGCGGCACCAGATCCAAGCATGATTGATTTGCAGCTCAATCACAGTATTATGTCTTAGGTCGAGTCGTTTCGACTAGACTCGCCATGCAACGGGCCGGCCATTCAGGACGTAGCGAGCCGTATCAGTGACCGACTGAGTCAAAGACTTGCACATGCGCTGTTTCTCATTCATGTATAAGTTGAGGGTGCCACGCTATAATCATTGATTATAACGGATTCAATGCCCATGGCATGGTGCTCATAATGCCATCATTGGTGCACTCATCGAGATATTCCGATGATAAGAAGCGATCAACCATGCGCTCGGAAGTCTCCATGCTCATTAACCATACTCGGAAACTCAACCATGGGCATATATGCCATATAGCTCTAGCTGCATCCACAGGTAGATTAAGCAACCTACCTGAATTTCTTCAATTATAGAAGCTTTTCTCAAAGTTCTGCGTCCTTGTTTGAAGATTTTATAACCGTCCGCGACGTTTCCCAAGAGATTGTCATCAGCGTTTAAGCACGGGCCCGGAAGATCAGACTTTCAAAGTAGTCAGCTTCGCTTCGACTGCAATCATTCGACTGCAATCATTGAATCCGTCGTTGTGCATTTTGTTTGAACAATTGGCTTGCATGAAAATAAGATCATCTTAAAACTCTGGCATTTAAATGGATGAAGCCTGGCCGAGGACGCGGGCATATCAAGTCCTGACGAGCATTATTACCCGAACAACCCTTCGTCATTGCATCCAAGGAAGCAGGCTGCTGTACACCACAAAATAAGTAACACTAGAAACAGCGGTCCTAAAATGCACAACACAGTGAGCACAATCTCGAGCGTCGGGTACGTCTCCTTCAGAATCTACCTCATGCACGCCTCGGCGTCGGGGTCTGGTGTCGACGTCCCGGCCTCGTTCCGGCTGAGGATGCGGCCCTTGGCGACGCCGGCGTTATTGACACTTTGATCGTGCGCCCAGCCGTGCTTCGCCGGGCGGTCCGCTGACGTCACGAAGGGAGCGCACTGGCAGGCGACCATGCGGGACACGTCACTTGGGAAGGTGAGTCGCCAGCCGGTGGAAATCGCTGTAGTATCTGGAAGAAGGAGGGAGACGCTCGATGGATTGTCTGAAAGTGAGCAAAGTTGAACCGTTTTTTGTCACTTGCATAAGTGTCTCTTTTTGGGGAATTGCTAAAATCTGGTCGTGATCGGGTAACGTGATACCAAAGGCTTGTCGACATCACGTCGGAGTCTTCGATTTCGTTTTCAGGTGCGAGACATGAGCCTGAGAAGTTGAATGCTTTTCAATACATTTTACCTCTATTAGGTTCGAGTACCAAAAAGATAACACGTCTGTACAGTCCGCGGATTGAGGAAGGAAAATCTCTGGTACTAGACTGACTAGACTGACTGCCAATTGTGTTGGGCGGATTCAACCCTTTGCGATCGCAGCGCCTTCAAAGCGATCGCTGGCTGCATTGCAGCTAGTGGCAATCTATCAAGATAAGGATTGTACTGAGCAGCTAGGCATACCGTTAGGAACCACTGTTCTTGCCAGAGCTCTCCGATCACGGCGATTGGATCCGTTCCGGGTCCGGAACGGAGCCGGAACAAGCTAACCGAAATGTCGAAGGCCATTTCTTCATCCAAGACGGGTGGGCCGAAGCTTTGTCAGGCACCCGCAAACGGAAGTTTTCCAATATCATGGCACAACTACGTTGGCAAATTTCAGTCCGCTGACCACAAATTACTACTGCGAAGCATGTTTGAGTTCGAGTGGTTTTCCTAGTAGCTTAGCATCTGCGAGAATCAGGTGCGCGCTAGCGCTCTCAGAATAAAGTGGCTGTGGACTTACTGGTTGGGGTTTTTGACGTCACGCCAGAAAGTGTGCGTGTAAGTAGGATTGACCCCAGAGTCGGCCGCCACTCGAGCAGCCATGACGGCTAGGAGGCAGAACATGAAGAGAAGCTGGACACGTGTCATCTTCATGAGTCGACGAGACGCGCGTGCGCAGCACTAGAGGAGGAGGAGAAGCATCAGTACATCAGGTATTCAGGATCGAGAAAGAACAGAATGAAACCAGATATCTGCCGCGCAGACTTGCAACAAAAAACTTACTGTGTGGCTGCAAGTGATGTAACCTGACTGGAAATCTGGATTTAAAAAGAAGACGGAAGTTCGTCAAGAGCGAATACTGTTCCTAACGGTCAAGCGGTACCGTGGGAAGTCGGAAAAAGTTCTCCTGCTTTTCTACACTAAACGCTTCGATTTTCAAACCGAAGACGAACAAAAACAGGGGAGGCGGACCAGGAGCAATCTACTGATTTCTATTGAACGGATTTCGGTAGGAAGGCAGATTCCGTTTTGACTCGAAATGGTCGGCTCCTTGGCATGGCCGCCGAGGATACATAAGATTGAGGGCAGCTACAAGCTCACAATTGTTATCCAGTAGCATCAGTATAAGCCAAAGTCGTCCGGCCGAAGTAGCATTCTTAAGAACGTAAGCAACATGTTTCTTACGTACATGAGACATCTGTCACTGAGATTCTGGCCTTTGTTCACCACTCAATCCTGAAATGAACTTTTTGTTCAGGGAAAGCCGAGCGAGGTCGAATGAGAGGTGATCTGCAACTAGAGACTGCTGGATCCATGGAATCAGTGAAATCATTAGGGCCGTCTTGTGAGTCTTGTGGCTTCTGAACGTACAGAAATTGAAGTCTCTGTCACACAGCGACAAGTCTCTTAGTCTAGTCTCACCTCCAAGAGAGGAGCTTCTGACTTGATCGAGGTCGTCAGCCTTCGCTCTGTAGCTCAGACCCGTACCATGATGCTTTTCCGATTCTCGCATCAGGTCTCCGAGGATCGACAGCAGCCTTCAGGAGAGAGTCGATTGTTCAGGCTCTCAGGCTTTGCAACATTTTCAAGTTCTGCTGGCTTTGAGCGCTCGAAATCATGCGGAAAGATCGAGGACAATAGATTCACTGGGGGCTCATTTGCTCAGCTTGCCTTTTAGCGATCCTGGAAGCAGGACTCCTTAGTCGAGCTGCAGATTTGTCAGAGGTTCGGAGATCAGTATGGTAAAACTTTGCGACTAAGACTTTGGTTCGAGGCTACGCTGAAGATGTAAAGAAGCTAGATTGAAAAGGATGCCTTGATCTGCTAGCTGTTCGGATGCAACGTGGCAGCCTCTTGCTAGACTCGTGGCGAGGACACCCTCATCGAGTTTTCAGGTTAAGGTCGAAGTTGGGCTCTAACCCCGCAACCGTACCCTTGTTAGCATGTCCGCAACCTGGGCCGTCGGTGTTACATAGGAAAGTTACATCTGACGTTAGAGAACATACCAATCACCTGTAAGGATTTTGTAACTCCTTGCAACCGTCAGATTAGAAGGTGGATGTATATCGACAGCATACGGAGCAGCCACATGCTTATACATGCTGACATCAGACTTTGCACAGCGAAACATGCTCGCTCTAGTTGATACTGAGAGGCTCGTGCGCAGTCCAGGCTCACCATGGCGCGAAAGCAGTCAAGACAGCTGAAAAGCAGAAGTGGCAGGAAGGCGCCTTTGTGACCATTTGGATGGTTGCAAGCACTGAGAGATCCGATTTCCTCGCTTAGGAAGGTGGGAGTTCAGCAGACACTGTCTACCAAAGAATGCATGTCACGGGCGGAAAACTTGTTGCAGACTTTTACCTCTGACTTGGCACTTAGCTGAAAGCGCGGTTCATCATGGGGGATGCTGAACCAATGGTCGAAGGCGATCAGCCACGCCCGGCGCCAACCCCTAGCCTGTTGTCAACGCTTGGGGATGTGCCTGGTCCCCGTTGTGGACATACGCTGACGGCGCTAGCACCTTCAGGAGAGCCAGGCTCGTCAGGTTACGTAGGTCCAAGGTTGATCCTTTTTGGAGGAGCGACTGCCTTGGAAGGGAGCGGGGGCGCAGCTGGTCCAGGAGGCAGTGGCGGTGGAGCAGGGATTCGTAAGTCCATTTGCCTGTTCTGATTGTAGGGTTCAGAATGATGTTCAGGCAGCTTAAGTCAAGACCATGAGAATCGGTCAGGGCTTCGCTCTTTTGCGTTTTACCATCTGTTCAGGAAGCAAGCTCCAACGCATTTCATCCTTCCGCAGAAAAACATGGAGAATTTGGAATGGCGGGGTTTAGATGTGGACGCGTTTATGTCATAAGCTCTCAGATTTATCTGCATGATTCCTGCAAACATGTTTGCGACGGCATCGACCATTGGATAGTAGCAACTTCTTGCTTGCCTTCTATGATATCAGGGACATGCGGCTATGTTTGCCTCTGGTACGGATTCTACAAGGTGCTACCAAAAGGCAACTGTTGCATAGATTCTCCTTTAAACACACTCTGCTGAGTGAAGGATCACATAGGAGGTCCTTCAGTGACAGGAAAAATGATCCGCAACATTGTGAAGGTTTCTATTCGCTGGATAGACTACTTTTTCTGAAGGCAGAGGGTGTGAGCATCTGTGTGCATTTTGCACTGTTTGGGGCTGCACCAGTAGCATAGACAGAAGGGCTTGAAGGTGTAGCATACTGCGCGACGTTCCCTTACTTACACATGCAGTATTTGAAACGTTTTTCCAACAATCTATGGCTGCGAAGGTCCCCTTACCTTGCTTGACAAATGCTGACAATTCCAAGCAGCGATGGTTTTCCTTTCTACTTCCACTTGCAAGGCGACGCAGAGTGCTGTAACTTGTCAACAAGTTCCGGAACTTGCTCCCTACTTGGCGGAAACTTACTCAAGTGCATGAGAGTGTTCCTAGGATTTCCGCTCGCTTGTACCACTCCGTTGCGCTCTCCTTAAATAAGCAAGTCTCCGTTCTGCAGGATTGGCTGGAGCAACAGCAGACGTGCACGCATATGATATTGCAACAAAGACATGGACCAAGTAAGTCATCCCGGTTATTCTGTCCTTTGTGTAGAAGCTTTATTTTTACTCTTGCCATTAGGGTTTGGATTCTGACTTGCGACGGAGCCCCTTTCACTGATTGGACTGCTATACAATTCCCTGTTAGCTCGCGCAAGCATGTCGCAAGTCTCTTGAAGAGGAGCTTAGCTTGAAAAAAGTGCACAGCAGGATCTGGAGGGCCTCGTTGTTTATACTGCCCCTATAGGTCACCCGTTCAGAATGAATCTCACTCGTAGCGTAGCATTCACGAGTTAATGAGACGATCTTGTTGCAATGACGAGCGATACATGACAGAAAGGAAATATAGATGTGCGTCTCCACACTAGCGCTCTTTTTTTTGGATTCTTGTTGAAGCCACAGTGCTGCTGCCAACCTCTTTGACCAGCTTTGTTGTGCTGTCTCTCGCTAGTTTGCCCATGCCTCAAGCCTTAAGCAATTCAACACCGTCAGGCCCTTCCTCATTTGCTATTGCTGTTTCAGACCTCATGACTGGACAAAGAAGTTCACAAACGTTGTCCCCACCTATGACGGGAAGAAAAGGCTTTTTGGATATGCTTAACGTTTGTTCTTTTCGCAGGCTTCAACCGATTGGAGAGCCGCCATCTCCAAGGGCAGCGCATGCCGCGACCGCAGTCGGCACGATGGTTGTCGTGCAGGGGGGCATTGGTCCAGCAGGATTGGCGACGGACGATCTGCATGTCCTAGACCTGACAGGGCCAAAACCCCGCTGGCATAGGTGTGTCTTCCGTTCCTGTGCTCCTTTCTGAGGGACAGCAAAAGCCATGGGTGCCAGAATCTTGGAGCTATTGCGAGCGCTGTTCTTCCTAAGCCCTGATGCTAGTCACAGAAAAAGCCACGGGTGCCAGGATCTTGGAGCTATTGTGAGCCCTGTTCTTCCTAAGCCCTGATGCTAGTCACTTCTGAAACAGACTGTCAGACTGAGGAGCCGAGGGTAGAGATTGCCGTTCAGCTCAAATGCTTGTACAATTGTGCAGTATCCAATTTCTTTTTTATTCAGCCCCGTAGATGGGATGATGCAGAGGACATGAGCGTTCTCATCTGGTGTAGTGCGTCCGCCCTGCACTGGCGAAGGGTCTGCAAGCTCTGTCAACATGTTGTTTCCCCGCCTTGCTAAGCCTTTTGATTGCTGCACAAGATTGAGTTTAGCTGCAATCTGTTGTCAGTAGACACGACACTTCCAGGCTGATTCCAAAAGGATTACGATTCAACAAAGGAAGAGTGAAGGGACTGCTGAAAAGACAACAGTCTTCAAAAGATACTAAAAGGATGTAGACCGGAATCATTTACGTTGGAGTTCAAGCCTTCTCTCTCTGAATGCATTTAGGACCTCCAAGTTGGGGAAAATGGATGAGCAGAAGAGACGAGACTAGTGAGTAAGGTTTGACAAAGTTATTCTGTTTGCAGGGTGGTTGTTCAGGGCCCTGGCCCAGGTCCCAGGTATGGTCACGTGATGGCGCTTGTGGGGCAGCGCTTCCTTCTGTCAATCAGTGGCAACGACGGTGAGGATTGACGCAGATACTTGCATCCCTGATCTCAATGAGCCATACCGTGTTCTTCTCAAGAAACGCGTTCTTACACATTGCATCCTACAGTAGTGAGTCTGCCAAGCTGCACGAAAGCTTCAAGAAGTGAACGGTCGACCCGTGGACCTGAGATCGCACCTCACTATGATTAACCTGTAACTTGTAAAAGTGAAACAGGTTCCACAACGCTTAACTGAAGAAGTATTGGCATGGTCTGTCGATGACTTTTATCTGAGCATTCCTTTTCTGAGTCCTCTTCCCTGTGATGCAGGCAAGCGTCCCCTCTCGGACGTGTGGGCCCTGGATACTGCTGCAAAGCCCTACGAGTGGAAGGAGGTCCAGACAGAGGGAGAAGGGCCTCCGCCGTGCATGTAAGTCCTGAAGCTTTTCGGGATTGCTTTTCTGCGCTTTTGTTCTGCGCCCTAGAAGTTCTCTCCTCTTAGAGAATGGTCGTTTTTAAGCTTTGCCACGTATAGAAGTTATTAGAGCCTGTTGAGATTATAAAAACGAAACGGACTGAGCCAAAGAACAACTCCGGTGTTATTGCGCAGTCGATCTTGTTGATGGTGGTCCCTCGACTCTCCCATGAAGGAGACTTGCCAAGCTCTTGGAAGCATATCCAACCTTTATCTTTGTTTCTACAGGTATGCAACCGCCAGCGCGCGCTCCGACGGTCTCCTCCTCCTTTGCGGTGGCCGAGACAGTAGCAGCGTTCCTCTTGCCGGAGCGTTTGGGCTTGCCCGGCATCGTGACGGCCGGTGGGAATGGGCCAGCGCGCCTGGGGTGTCTCCGTCCCCTCGGTACCAGCACGCCGCTGTATTTGTCAATGCCAGATTGCATGTGTCGGGTGGCGCGCTTGGGGGGGGCAGGATGGTGGACGATGCGTCTAGCATAGCTGGTAAGTATGACTGTGGAGTACTTGTGCGGAACTCCAGGTCGGTCGGCTCCTGTGGAGGACCGAGTGCGTGAACAGCAAGCTTCTCCAAGGCTGCCCGGTTCCTTTTTGGCTTGCCATTTTTTGCGGTTCGTCTGCTCTAACTCCTTGCTGTAAAGCCGTTGGAACCTTTGGAAGGAGTAACGGATGAGGAGACGTTCCGTGACTCACCCTCCTCGCTTTTTGCTTTCGCCTCGTTTGGAGCCCGCCATTTCGCACTGTTTCGTTCTTGACGCTGCCGTCCTCTTCTGAGTGCCCCACCATTGGCTACAGTGTTGGACACGGCCGCCGGCGTTTGGTGTGACCGCCGTTCGGTCGTCACCAGCCCCCGTCCGGGGCGGTACAGCGCAGATAGCAGCGCCGAGTCAGGGAGCATGGCGGAGCTGCTCCGGAGGTGTCGGCATGCGGCGGCTGCCGTTGGAGAGCAGGTTAGTTGACGATTCCTGGTCCTGGGGTTGTGGAAGATTGCTATGTCCTTCGATATCCTCCTTGTTGTCTTCGGTTTTGCAAATTTCCACTTACTCGGGTTCTGCACAGGTAGAGACTTGCATGCTGTTCTTCGGAATCTTCTTTCGCGGATTGAGACGTAGGTTTCTGAAGAGGGCACTACAGTGTGCGGGGGTGATGTGTACTCTTGTGGGAAGGCATCCGCGGTTCTGTATGTGTGAGAGGCAAAGCAAGGTGCGTACGGTACGATTGACTTACATAGCAGGAACAAGTGGCAAGTCGTAGTGGGGATTGCTCATGGACGAGTTCGGTTTCATTAAAGATCTACCATAGCAAGTGTGTAAACGGCTCGTCTTTACATCTCCTTCACGGTTATAGAAACCAAGTTGACTGAAGAAGGCGATGAGCTTGCGAGTTGAATCGATCCGATTGTTTTTTGATGCTAACATCTTAAGTTCGTTTTACGTGAGCAGGTATTCATCTATGGTGGCTTAAGGGGGGGCGTCCTGTTGGACGACATGCTGGTCCAGGAGGACACGTCAACTCCGTCTGAGTTGGCAGCCAGTGCGGCCGCAATCGGAGCTCAGGCGGCCAATCAGACTATGTCGCCGCCAGACTCGCCGTCAACTCCGACGGTCCAGGGACCACCGGCAAATGCCGCACCCAAAGTAAGTTATGCAATGTAATTCCTTGTCTTGCCTGGTTTCTTTTACGTCTTCAATACGGAGGTTCGTCCATTCTGTACCTCTCTGTACCTCTCAGCTCCACGTGTTGCTTCTTTTTGGAATGGTTGCGGTTGTGGTGTACTGACACACTGAAAAGCGTTGTGCGGCCTCAATTGAGTTTCTTGTTGCGGATGTGGTGTTGGCTTCACGACTACCCAGAACCCACTTGCGGGTTCTCAAAAAAGCCGCAGTGTTTTCCCAACCTTTGCAGGCTTGTTCGTTTTTTGCTGAACTTGATTTGCAGCCAAAAGTCGTCAGCCAATAAGACAAGCCGGATCCGTTCTGATCAAGCTACGTTTCTGCTTAGAGTGCTACCAGAACCGAATTTCTCCTCCTTCGTTTTGCAGTCGAAGCCGTCCGGCGACGATCCTGAGACGGTGCTGATGGAGGAGCCTGTGGCTGCGGCAGTTCAGGGGGATGCCAACATGGACATCAGCACGGAGAATGCAGTGACGCACCACTTGGAACAGGGTGACGTCAGCCCGCTGGTACAGAATGCCGCAGAGGAGGCTGCGGCGGCGAGCGCGATCTTGCAGGTGAGGAAGGCATGGATTCGAGGCATCTCGGAAAGACGCATTGTATCGACTGCCCATCACGATCCTAAGAAAAGAGGACTTCAGACACAGTGTGGCCTCTATGAAAGGTATTGGCGAAATAGGAGACAATTGTTTTGTGCTTTCTTGTTTATAGATTGTGCGGGAGTTGCTGTAAATCATGCTCAACGTAGTTACGCAAATTCTTTGAAAGTATGCAAGCCGCTGGTGGTAGACCACGCGATCCCAGATTGGCGTCTCTTGTGAGGCTTTTCTATCAACGTTATCTCACTTGCAATTAGAAAGGCTGTAGCGAAATTTGCAGGTGATTCGATTACTCTGCAGTCCAAAACATCTTACGAATTGGTATGAACCTGGGTCCGTTGCTGAACATTCCCGTTAATCGTGCAGGCAAAGACGAAACCCGAAGAGGAGATGGAGATGGCTGCGGAGGAGCCCAACCGAGAAACGTCTCCCGAGGTTAAGCAGACGGCAACCGGCCGCGCAGCCGAGGCGGCAGCCCGCGCTGTCGCCACTACAACGCAACGGAACCCTGACAGGGACGTCACGCCTGACGTCAGGCTCTTCCACCGGGCAGTCGTAGTCGCGGGGGGAACGCTCGGGGGCCTTGTCCGGCAGCTCTCGATTGACCAGTTCGAGAACGAGGGGCGGCGGGTTTCTTTCGGGACGCCAGACAGTTCGCATGGGAAGGAAGTGAACAAGATGTTGGACCGCAGCATGAGCTTGCAAGGGGTGCACAAGAAGGTGCTGAGCGCGCTGCTCAAGCCGCGCGGGTGGAAGCCGCCGACGAACCGCAAGTTCTTCCTCGAAGCGCCCGAGATAGGTGAGCTTGGTTTACAATCTATGATTCACTCCACAACCGTCCTTACAGCTTCGGTGTTAAATATCCCGCTAAGATGCTTGTGTAAATTTGTCCGCAAAAATCCCCTTTAAAGATGGCGTTTTCGTGCTGTCTCGTCCTCTACAGCTTTAGCGCTTGCAAGATTGTCTCCTTGCCTCAACCTCTTTCCCCCAGCATTTTCAGCTTACCAGGCAAGGCTGTCGAGAGTTTGCTCTAGTAAATACAGCGGTTTACCCTGCAGCCTAGCTACTCTGATGCATGCTTAAGCTGTCCAGAAAGACCTTCTGATTCTCATTCACACTCACTCTTACCCCCTGCAGCCGAGCTGTGTGAAAAGGCGGAGCAGCACTTCCAGCAGGAGCCCAGCGTCCTGAAGCTCCACGCGCCCATCAAGCTCTTCGGCGACCTGCACGGTCAGTTCGGCGACTTGATGCGCCTCTTCGACGAGTACGGGGCGCCCTCGACGGCGGGCGACATCACGTACATAGACTACCTCTTTCTGGGCGACTACGTGGATCGGGGCCAGCACTCGCTCGAAACCATCTGCCTCCTGCTAGCGTTGAAGGTGAGGCACTTGTGTCTCAGCCAATCTGGACTTCCTTATCCGGTTTCTGAGAGGGTTCGTTGTTCTTTGAAGGTGCTCTTGCACGACCTTCCGGCGTACCATGGGGCTACAGGGGTAGTTGTCGTGTCAAATTAAGAATCTTGAGGGTGATACGAGATGCGCAACAGTCCGTTACTGGCGCTGTTGTCACTCCTCTCGTTGCCCTTACTCTTTCGTCCTGCTTGTGCCTCCTGAAGGTGCCGCATGCTTTGGTTCAACTTATTACGAAGCTGAACAATTTGCATTTTTTGAGGCAGTCTGGTTAATTGACCATTTGTCGACGCCCTGTCACTCTTTCTTGAATCTCATCTCTTCGGCTTTCACTGACCCACCGGATCTGGTTCTCTTCTGCAGATCGAGTACCCCCGGAGTGTCCACTTGATAAGAGGGAACCACGAAGCTGCCGACATCAATGCGCTTTTTGGCTTCCGGATTGAGTGCATAGAGCGGATGGTGAGCCAAGGCCCTCTCACTTGACGCTTGTTCTTGTTTCTAAGTTGCTTGACTGATACGAGAGGCGCCGCATAAGAGAGGTGCCGCATCTTTGCTTGATGCTTGTTGTTGCACGCGTTAGGATCGTCGTGAGTCTTTTCCACGGACAAAAGTACACTGCATGTGTTCGAAAGGCTCGCGAATACTCTTGAGCGTTCTTTAGTGATAGGTATTATTTCTGTCTTAGTTCTTGTAAGGATTGACGGAGGCGGTCTCTGCCTGGCAGGCAAGCCTCAGTTACTGTTATCGCTCAAGCCTCTTGTCAAGCACGAGAGCAACACCAGATGCGCAGTCTCTGCTCAATCAAGCACTTACTCACTACCCTCTCTGATACAAAGGGTGGACCGAAGGAGTCTATGCCTGCAGCTCATTAAATAGGCCTGAAGACGGCTGACCCCCGCCGTAATATTTCAGAGATAATATCTAACTCACCTTTTTCCTACTTCGTCAATCGGAACCTCATGGGATTATTATTATATTTTTCCAGGGGGACGGTCCGGGCATCTACGCCTGGCAGCGCATCAACCAGCTGTTCAACTGGCTGCCCCTCGCCGCCATGATCGAGAACAAGATCATCTGCATGCACGGCGGCATCGGGCGGAGCATCGAGAAGGTGGAGCAGATCGAGGCGCTGCAGCGACCGCTCACAATGGACGCGGGGACGGACCGTGAGCGGGTGGTCCTAATGGACCTGCTCTGGTCGGACCCCACCGAGAACGACAGCGTCGAGGGGCTGCGGCCGAACGCGCGGGGGCCGGGCCTCGTCACGTTCGGGGTGAGTTGCGCAAGGCACTGCTTTGCATGTACTTTGGCAAGAGTGACCGGTCCTGTAAAAAGACTTGGCATCTTTTGTCCGTGCAGCTTGGTCGAGTCTGCCTTTTTCTTGGACAATTGCCCTCTTGACTCTCTGCTCGTTACCTTTCGTTGTCCTTCTCGTCATTTGCTCCGCGTTTGTCTCCCCCATCAAACGGTGTAAATAGTGACATGAGTAAATGGAGGAAGCCATTGGCCTGCTCAATTGGATGGTGTTCCCGTGTGCGCGGACATCAAGTTTCATAAGATGAAAGTGTCGGAATCAGAGAGCTGTAATGTCAACGCTGTTGTGAAGAGTGCTCCGCAGTCGTTCGTTCGTCAATGTGAGTTCAAGTCTTGACTCGGAAGCATACTATGTACATCAGGAAATCTGCTTTTCTGTTAAAAAGCGAAGGCGTCGGTAGAATCTGACTTCCGTCTATCAGTTTGAGTCTCAGGTCGTGAGTCGGAAGCATGCCATTTACATTGGGATTTTGGTCCTGTCAAAAGGGAATCGTAACTCTGATACCGCCGGACTTAACGAGCTGTGTTTCTGCCCCACTGCAGCCGGACCGTGTCCGCGACTTCTGCAAGGAGAACGACCTGCAGCTCATTGTCAGGGCCCACGAGTGCGTCATGGACGGCTTCGAGCGCTTCGCAATGGGCCACCTCATCACCCTGTTCTCAGCCACCAATTATTGCGGTGAGCACTTTCTCCAGCTCTCACTTCTGGCTCAAAGGGTGTTTGGTCAAACCCGTTGGTTGCGTACTACACCCCGTCAGATTGTTCAGCATACCCATTCCGTTACTATATGTACGAATGTTTGTTCCACGACGCCTCTCGGTCGGCTTGACTCGTCAATCAGACCGTAACTTCTGCGATCACTTTCACCCCCACTTCATGTCTGGTTAGAAGTTTTGGGGCGGAGCGTGGCCCATCTAGGAGCTTCTTCCACTTCTGAAGCATCGTTGAAGTGTTGCATGCGTGGGATTGCTTGTCGCACCAGTTTTCTAGAGGAGCTGTAAGTGGTTCAGCTCAGTTGGGGTTGTTTTGGGCAGGACAGAAGAATTTTGTCCGAGAATCTTGCAGTCGAAGCCTTCAAGATTTGAGTCTCATTTTGGCCCCTCTATGCAGGAACGGCGAACAATGCAGGGGCCATCTTAGTTCTGGGCCGAGATCTTGTGGTGGTCCCTAAGCTTATTCATCCGCTTCCCCCTCCGGGCCCAGCAAACAACGACTCCGATTCGGAGGACACGTGGATGCAAGAGCTCAACGTACAACGACCCCCAACCCCTACTCGAGGGCGGCCACAAAATGAGGCGCAGCAACGGAGTTCGCTAGCTTGGATTTAGGTCTTTTTAGCTAGGCGCCAGCTTATACAAATGTGCTTTGTTCAGGAATCTTAACAGCGCAATACGTCTGCTTAGGCTTATAGGACAGTGCTTTAGGTGCGCCGTGGGTTTGTATAAACATTGGCACAAGTTGGTCGATCAAATAGGTAAGCAGTCCGTGAGTTGCAAAAGCTCGGTCAAAGGGGTCATCTCTGTTGCTGCAACACCTTAGCCTTCCTGCAAAAACGAACGACTATCTTTTTTTGGAGGAAGGTTAGGCTAGCATGACATGGCGGAGTTCTCTTGTCATGTGGTCGGTTTGTTGTAAGGATGATCAAACGAGGCAGCAGAAGTCGCTTGAAGATGCAGCCTCCTTTTCCTTAAGACCACCTCGTTCATATCTTACTAGGCTCCATCTTAGTCTCAAGCTTACCTAGGTCAAATGTTGAATGTATCGAATATGTTCGATCCTTGCAAGAACCTCGAATGCCCTGAGAACGCCTGCTCTATATTTCTATCATCCAATGTGCTTCAACGTTCTTTTGCATCATTAAAAAGGTGCACAATTGCGAATGAACATATGGCTTCCTAAGGTCCTGTAATTAGTTTTCACATCCCGCAATGTTGCAAGTCGAATATCCATATAATGATCAGCGACATATGTCATGCATGCACATGGTTTTCATAAACACAAATACTACGTACAGGGACGATCGTAGTTTGTCACTGTTTCTTCAATCAACATGGCGGGATGCGTATGACTTGATTGCATTGTGGTCAATAATGTGGTATATACGGTATACGGTATAGGTATAGGAGTACCGTAATACAAGTATCATGATTAATTGATATATGCAATGCAGGTCTCAACAGCGATCCCTTTGCGCCTGCAATTCCACCTGCAAGCCATGATATTCTAAGGTAAAGGTATCTACCGTACTAGGCTTAAATGGACGTGGGCCGCCCACCGACGTTGGACTCCTCATGGTCCGTGATTCAAGACAAGACGGGCCAGAATCGCCAATACCGTATTCTGTAAATACCGCACTTCCGGAATCGGTGCTAGGTCAGGTGGAGCGCCGAATCTGAATTTGCCTGAGGGATTGACCAAAATGATACCGCAACCGTCCGATGAAAAAGCTGGGCCACAAACCGCCCGATCGGAATTGTCGATTCGATGAAGAAGGGGCCTAATCAGGCTTGGCACACCAGACATCGACTGAGCAACAGAAATTGGTTGGGACAAAGGAGGGACAATTGAAGCTGCTTTGAGCAAGGTCTGCCTTGGCACTGGCGGTAAGCCATGGCACCTCATCTAGGTGGAGCAGCATGCCGCAGCTCAAAACTCACAATGTATGCATATGAAACATTCCATGTTCATCTTTGAGCTCATGGAACA